TACTTCCACTTGGCCTTTGGAGGATGCTTGTTGGAGTAGTTACTTTGGGTGCTAGAAGTGATTACTTCCATCCAATTTTCTCTTAAAAGCTCAAATTTCATGGATTAATTGCCAAAAAACTCCTACACAATTATTCTAATTAGGAAAATTACAAAAGATAATTGTAAAACTTATGTAAATTAAACTAAATTAAGAAAATTGAAATTAATAATAGAATTGACATTTTTATGTTATTTACATTTTCTAACTTCATTTTTCTATTAAAAAGATAACTAAAATATTAACAAAATGTGGATTCATCAATCGGTTATTATGAATAACCAATGTAGAAAATATTCTTCTTGTTCATGTTCTTCTTCATCAATAGTGTCGGTGTTTCTCTTCTTTGATAGTTTTAATGTTCGCATTTGTCATGTTATCAATATATTTGTTTGAATATGTAACATAAAGAATATGTAGTGTTCGTCAAATTTTTTAATAAAGAAGAAAATACAAAAAAAAAACTATTGTTGTGTTCGCTGTCCATGCATGTTTCTAGTTAACAAAAGCACCAGAAACTTAAGAAAAGTCTTTGCTCATCTCCAATATATGCTATTTTACTAGCGCATGTCTAAAATTTTTTAATTTGAATTGATTTTACATCGATTCCCATAAATAACCGATGTAGAAAATACCTTTTACATCAGTTATTTATTTAACCAATGTAAAAAGTTCTAAAATTTTAAGAAATTGAGAGAATGCTAAAAATAGAAAAATGGAAAAAAATATTAAAATTTAGAAAAATGGTTTGTCCAAAGGCTATCTCGAAAAGTCATATAAAATAAACATATAATTTATATAAATCAGAGTCATGTACTAAAAGTTACGCCCATTCCAAGTTTACAACTATAAATGCAAAAAAATACAGAATTGCAAGACTTTCTATATTGGTTGTTTTTATAATCAATGTAGAAATTACTTTTTACATTAATTGTCAAAAGTATCAATATAAAAAGTACTTTCTACATTGATACTTTTGACAACCGATGTAAAAAAATTTGCATAAATTTTAAAAATATTACTACGTTTTTTTTACATCAGTTGTTTTTAGAACTAATATAGAAATTACTTTCCTCATCAGTTCTTTTGACAACCGATGTAGAAAAGTTTGCGTAAATTTTAAATGTGTCACCATGTCTTTTTCTACTACATCATTTCAGAAAGAACCGATGTAAAATCCTATTGTAGAAAGTGTTTTTATACCAGTGATCATAAAAACTAATAATTAGAAGTATAATCATCTAGTTTGGAAAATAAATAATAATTCCAAATTTTTAATTGAATAAAGCAATAAGCTAATCAACTAAAAGCCTAATGCTTGGAGTCCTAAAGAATACTTGGAAAACAAAAACCTAAACACAACACCAATATTGATATGAAACCAAGAACGTTGAAATAATTTAATAAAGCACCTGAACTTGTTGCCCATGTTAGTCCGAGGTGATTGTTACAAATAAAGGTCTCTTTGATAACTTCTATTAAAGTTGGAGAACTCTGAAAAAAAGTAACTTAATACGATTTTCCATGATTTAAGTATTATAAATCCTCCCCATTACAACTGAAAAGGAAGACAGAATACATTGATAAATGACCAAGCCTAAACAAATAAAAATAAAAATAAAGAAATTCAAACGGGTTCAGAATTATAAAGTAAAAATGAAAATACAATATTAATTAATGTTCAAATGGTTTAAGATTGGTGCAATGAACTCTCATAGCTCTTCATTTATCGGTGATGAACCTTCACAAATCGTCATGTGTCCGTCCTCCTGCACTTATTTGCACGTAATTATGAAAACAAATGGTTGCAACTCTTCATGATCATAACTTTTCATGTCATCAACTGTAACTTTTAAATTATGAACTTGTCTTTATTTACAATTATAATTCAGTCTTAAAATCCGAATGGAATTAATCAATATTTGTTGCGATCCACTCCTTTGAATCTAGATTGAATTAATTAGAGCTCTCTTAGCCACTAACTCTTGAATCAGTCCATTTAATGCTTCTTTGAATTTTCTTGGTCTTGCCGAATAATATAATCCATGACAACACATTATACCATGTCCAGCTGGAGATCTTTTGTTTTTCTTTCAAATTTAACTTAATTTAGTTTTAAAACTCGCTTGTTTACTATTTCAATACTTCTCCAATAACACTAATTTTCCCTTCCTTTTAGCTACTAAAAACATTACATTTCCATCATTTTGCATTCAAGAGAGAGAGATCAGAGAGAAAGAGAGGAGAAAGTTGTTCTCATAAAACGAACAAAATGATGAAAAACCAAGAGACCATCACCATCCAACTTGACTATCACAAGAACATTCTTTTTCCGTTCTCATCAGTAATTGAATTTTAGACTCATATGACCTACTTGTAGATGACTTACATTCTAATGATAGAATATGAGGGGCAAGATGGTAAAGTCTATAATTTTACATGAATAAAATTATATTTATTTGTATGATTTTGGTTTTCAATATTTTTGTTAAGTCTCTCTTTTACGAGAAATGCCACATAGAATAATTTGATAAACAGTCCACCATCAGATGGATATAGTAAGACAGACAGCACTGTGGCTGGTTGTGGAGTTCTTAGAGGAATCAATATTGGAGAATAGCTTAAGATTCTTTTAAATATCTTGAAGCAATAGCTTAAGATAGGGGTAAAGATACTCTTGCCAATTTATCATGCACCTGATTATATCTATGATCATCCTCCCGTTGAGATAAGACGTGCTTCTAAATGATATTCTGGAAGTTCCTACACCTAAAGTTGTTCTCATGTTTTTTTCTTTCTGGGCATTGGCCCTTTGTTTGAAAAAAAAGTGAAATAAAGGGACATTATGGTAATGAAACTTGTTTTTAGGATTAAACAATAACATATCAAAATCAGGAAATCAAATAAAAAATAATAATATTTTAAAAATCCAAGCACAGATGCAAGTCATTCTTCTGTAAATGATAAAATATATCATGAGAACTTCCATTGATAAAATTTGGAGGAATAAACCTTTGATATCATCCTCCAATGTTATTTGTTACTATGCTAATCCCTTAAAAATATTTATTCTTTATATCTCAACAAATCTAAAATATTATTATATAAGTTTTTAAAAAAATTATCTTTAAATTATTCTCTCAAGACGTGAAATGTTATCATTTCATCCTTCTAAAAGACTAAAATAGTAAAAATAGAAAAAAAAAATTAAGGGTTAATTTGGTGACTGATTAAATTTTTTGAAGTATTAATTTAATGACAAAATCTTTAAAATATTAATATGATGATGAGTTAAAGACCTGAGGAGCTAGTTCCGTCATCAAAATTTTTGAAGGACTAATTCAACAACGCATAAAAATTTGGAATACCAAATTTAGATGTTTATCATTTGTAAAAAAATTATTAAAAAATATAATGTGTTGAACTATTTATGAATTATTTGATCTTGATAAATTAAATGATCAATCAAGCTGTTTTGTACTAGTATTCAAATAAGCTCACACTTGTTTGAATTATATTAAATAGTGAAGTTGAAGCATTAAATACTTAATGTTTGAGTGTTGTAAATAGTTTGTGTGTGCATGAGCAAATGTACGTAATGCATATTAGGTGAAAATATATTAATCTTTACTTTACAATTGTATATAAATGATTAAGGTTAAGGGACTAATTTGGTAATAGGTGTGAGACAATAAAAAAACATTTGAATTTTTAAAGAACTAATTTAATAACTAGTTACATTTTCTAACTAGTAATTCAATGACAAAATCTTTGAAACATTAATATAGTGATGATTTAAATATTTAAAAGGCAATGGTAAATAAATTTTTTTAAGGATAACTATAGTATTGCATGAAACTCTAAAAGATCAAATTTAGTTTTCGTTGAAATTCACTAGTAAGTTATAGAAAGGAGTATATAGATTGAGATTACATGAACTATTCAAATTTTAGTTTTAAAGACAAACTTGAACATACAATCATATATGTATGAAAAAAAAAATATTTAAAGATTACTTTAACACTTATGTGATTTTTAATATTTTAATTTTGATTATTCCTATAGGATGTAGTGTTCAAGATCTCTTTCTATTATCAAACATGATTAATCTCTTTGATACTTATCATATATCTATTTATGAGTAAACTTATCAAGTGAGAAAACTATTCCTACACATAAATGGTCAAGTTTAAAATTAAATAAAATGAATATTAATTATTTATGTATAATTATATAATCTATATTTATGACTTGAAAAATAAATTAATATGTCTTTATTGTAAAAACATCAATTTTTTAATAAATCCCTATAGTTTAAATCTTTTAATATATTTTTGGAAATTAACATCGTAAGACTTTCGATAAATATTAGTAATATAATATATATTTAAAAGTATAATTTAAATAGTAATTATTATTCTTCAAGTTATGAACTTACAATTCTTACAATAAAAAATATCATTGTACTCCTAGATAATACTATATAAGAACTTCAATTTTAGATAGTTTAATTTAACATAAGGATGCCATACTCTAAAGTTTTATTTGAGAATTTAAAGAAAAAAGAAAGGAAAATATTTGAAAAATAAAGGAGATGAAGGAAAGAGGAAAAATGATAATTAATGCAAAACTTCATAAATTGAGAGAACTCAAAAACATGTGATTAGAAAAATTTTATAAATTTTCTTCCTCCCTTTTAAAAACCCCTAAAAAAAATATTTATCACATAAGTCTTCTCTTCTCTCCCTTTTCTCCCAAAAACCAACTCCCAAATAAAACTTTAAAATATTAGAATTATTTCTTAAGATTGATTTTAAATAATTAAAAATAATAAATTTTGTTAATATATATATATATATATATATAATACATTAAAAATACAGAAACATAATAAATAACTTTGTTAATAAAAACTTACTACTTTAAATGTTTTATGTTAATATTATGAACTAATGTTTACAAATCCAAACAAAATATAATCCCATAAATGAATAAAAGCACAACATTTTAACTTCATAATAAAGCAAGCCATAGTAACAAAGATTGATAGTACCATCCCTTGTGGCCTTGGATAATAATAACATAAAATACAATAGAAAAAGCTAAAAATCTGTCAACTATCAATGAGTTCACATGATTGGGAAGTTTATTGATAGGTGCCATGGGTACACAAGGGGTAAACCCTAAAAACAACTCATTTTTTTGCAGTTCCGCGGTTCCTAGGTAATATAATTTCTGGTCTAGCTTCATCTGTACAAGCTTCTAACTCCAGAACCACCAACTTCAAGAGAGGAAGAAACAAGGGTTCTGTTTGTAGAACTTGGGAAAAGGGGAACTAATATATGGAGATTTTCCATACACTTCATCAGCAACAAATTCCTAACAGCTACTGCTTTTAGCTTTGCTTTGCTGAAGCCATCATTGACGTATGCTGATGAGTTAGCTCATGCATTTGGATCCCATCAAAATATTTAAGGTCAAGACGAAAATAATAGCGACTATGTTCACATTCTCTCAAGCCTTTTGAAATGCGCGAGAAGAAACCCCATGCAGAAGCCTGACAAACCCCAAGAAACTGAGCTTCCCATCTGAGTGTCTTATCCAATCTTGAAGTACTACATGAACAGGTACAGATGGACTAAGCCCAAGTTCCTGAAACATGTCAATTTTGAAGAGCCTTAGTATCATTATACAAGTTATGATAAAAAAATCTCATTTGAGTATCTGATAAAATGCAGAAAGAGGACAACTAAATGATTGGAGTTGAGGAAAACTCCTCAGAAGGAGAGACAATTAAAAGAGAACAATTATACACAAGTTTGGATAACATGTTCTTGGGAATACTTAATCAGGCTTTGGTTCTAATTATACCCTTAAAAGAACGAAGAAGAATGAACGAACAAACAAACAAAAATGATAGCAGCTTAGGCATAGTGCGCGCTACATATAGAACCATGTACAGCTTATTGATATATTAGAAAAAATGGGTTGTGAAAAAGAGAATACCGAGGCCAACTCTTCAATCATAATTGGTCGATTTCCATCCTTTTCAAAAAGGTCATAGGCATGCCTCGCGTGTTGCTCCCAGCTCTCCATGCCTTCAAGTTGGTGCACACTTATAGCAGCAGCACAAAATTCCTCAAAATCTAATTTCCTATATTGGATAGAACTAACCTGCGACATAAGTAATAAATTAAATTTTCATTGAAGCTAATTTGTTAAAGCACTCAGTGAGCAGTGACGATCCCTCAAACTTACAATATTCACATAATCCAAAACCCGTGAATCCTTTGAGGCATCGGTGGAGCTCCTCAAAACAGCCTGCCAATATAAATAAATGTTAATGTCTGAAAGAAATTTGAAAAGGAAACAACTCTAAACTTTGGATATGTACTGACCGCCTTAAAGTTCTGCATAGAGATTAACCCACTTTTGTTTGGCCCTAACAGAGTAAATTGATCTCTGAGATAAGCTAGCTGAGCTACAGTCAATGTCTTTGCAAGAGCCTGCAAAGATGACAAAGTTTTAATCAATATATATATATATCCATGTCTCTAACAGCAATTACTAATAGCCGCTTCAAGAAATTTGGAATTCATTACACTTGCAAATGAAGACAGGCAATCACACAAAACCTTTCCCCAACTAGTCAGTAAATTAACTTGTACTAATTGATCAGCCTGCAGAGACTTCTATGATTCTCTCCTTCATTTTCTTAAATTTTTGTCCTTTAGACAGGCGGTTTCAGTTTCTACCAATCTGAAATTAACTTGTTAACCTGAAAACCTTAAATTTTTCTCTCTCCTAAATTAACTTGTTACTAATCTGAAAACCTTTAAGAGTTTGTATTTCTACCAATTATAGCAATCATATTTTCTGCTTTCCTTTTATGTTCCTTTCAGGCCCTCTCATTATTATATACTAGATGGAATATTAATTTTGGTAACCCTAGACAAGAAAGAATTCAAATATAAATTCCAAAATAACATGCACGTTAAAATTTGAAAGCTTGACCAAATCCCATATAGTCGAAAAAGCTTTAGTTAATGTCACTAGACCGATTAGAGATACCAAGATTCAATAATGAGATATGACAAGGGAAAAGCTTAGCAGTTTTGATTGACTAAAGCATCAAATCATTTATTATACATGACTAAAATTGTTCGCCTTTCCAAGCAGTTGTCATACTCAAACTCATTTAATGATGTGATAATGCTTGATTAGATAATTTTTAAAAATTTATACAATCTCAAAAGTTTAATCCAAAACCATAGCCATTAACATCACATACCCCTAAAGCAGATTTACGTAAAGAAGATGAGCATATATAAGCTTTAACAAGCTTGTGGATTATCATATCCAAAGGTATCCTTATGTCATCATGATGATTCACCAGCCATGGATGACCTACACATAAAATCAGTCAATAAGCGAGAGAAATCATGAGATCAAGAAATAAGAATATTAATACCATATAAACCACCATGGGAAATGGGAAAGACATACTGAGTGCCTGAGCTGCTGTTAATCTTTTCCGATAATCCTTATTCAACAACCTCTTTACAAAATCTTTTGCATCAGCAGATAAAGAGGGCCAAGGAGCTTCATCAAAACTTGGATCTGCCTTCAGGACAGCCCGAAATATACCAGATTCTGTGCGGGCCCAAAAGGGACGACTTCCACATAAAAGAATATAAGCAATTACACCAATGCTCCACATATCTGCTTCTGTCCCATAAGATCTATGCAAAACTTCTGGAGCTACATAATAAGCACTTCCTACAATATCATTCAACCTCTCATCTGCAAAAAAAACTTCTCAATGTTCGCACTGGTTGCTATATTTTCTGTCAAGAAAATGAGAGAAGTGAAGAAAGAAGGCAGAAAGCCCAACCTGGCTTTACATAGTCAGATAATCCAAAATCAATGGCCTTCAATGTTGAATTTTCATCCTTAGACGTGAATAGAAAATTCTGAAGCATAAAACCAATATTCATGATTAGAAAAATTTAACAGACTGGTGTCATTCAGAATGACCATTAACCTATAAAGAATGAAAGTCTAAACAACACCAATATATGCCATCTCTATATCACTTCATTATTTCCACGCCTGGCATTTGCACAAAAAATTTATTTTTAAAGAGTGAAAGGTATGTTTGAAAATATTCAACATATCATGATAGCATATGATAAACAAAAATTCAAACTCAGTTCAAACATACATCAAGAACATCACCATGAGAGTAACAACCAGATTTCAAAGGAGTTAAAAGCTCAAGCTGAGCATAATAAACACAAGGGCAGTTGAAGTATTCGTCAAACTTATTAAGCATTTCAAAAGAAAATTAACAAGAACAAAGCTTCAAGTCACTAAATGAGATTGGCTACATAGATTACATTACCATACTGAATTCAGCCATTTTAAAAAAATAACAAAAACCTTTTTAATATGGTTATAAGCATATTGGTGTATAAACACTATAGTGTGGTTAACAAGAAAATGTATTAAGTACTTAAACCGTACGGAGACTTTCAGGAGGATTGTGTTAATTTCTGTCTAATATTTTAAGTACAGAAAAAATTTTCCAAGACTAATGATAGCATACCTGCTACAACAAAGGTCTATAAGAGAAGAGTTAGAAAGAATACTAGAGAAGGGGAGGACAAAACAATTGTAACAGAATATTAATGAGTGGGAATTCACATACGAAGAGGGGGTGAAAAATAGAGAAGGAAAAACCAACTGGTATCCTAGGCAGTGTTTGAGAAGTGAGGACAGGTTCAAAGAGAGATCAGGACTCTCGAACATATCCTGGGTCATTCATCTTTGTATTTCTCTGCCCTAATTCAGTATTCCTCCATATCAGGGCAAGGTTGATTCTCTAGGAGATCTTGAGCAATAAAGATATTTTTTTCCCTTCATATTTTCTCTGATCCAGTTTCTCTCAACTTGCTATTGCAGCAACAAAGATTAACGTGAAACATAACAGATAACGGCATTAATAAGAGGGCACCGTACTAGCACCAGATGGTATCCTAACTTCTTTCATGATACACTATCTTTGGCATTCTAAACTTCTACTGCAGAACCATCTATTCTTCTATCTGACTTCATTCTTTCTTTCCTGCCGCATCAGTGCACATGTTCAAGACATACAATCCAGCAAAAAAGAATACCAAGATTGAGGAATTAAGCACCTTCAGTGTAACACAAGGGAACTATTACACCCAAAGTATGAAGCAATAATGAAGCAAACTTTATGCTATTGGCAGTTTATAAAAATGCATAAAAATGTAATTCTCTGATCTACTTAATCCCAAAGACAAAAATGATGATGTCTACGTTTCTTAGCTACCACAAAAATAAAAAAATTAATTAGCTTTATAATTCAATCACCTCTGGCTTCAGATCACGGTGAACAACACCCTGCAGATGACAGAAAGCTACCACACTTAATATTTGGATCATAACAACTCTGGCATCCTCTTCTGAATACTTCCCACCCCTACACACCACAAGTCCACAATTGAATTTGTGCATGGTTAGAATGTCATTAATGAATGCAAGGGTAAAATAATTAAACCAGAATGTCTCTTTGAACTCCCCCCCCCCCCCCTCTTTTTTTCTCTACCTCCCCTTGTGTGGCACAGAAAATAGAAAATTGGCGAATATAGTTACCTGGAAAGAATCCTATCTAGCAATTCTCCTCCTTTGCATAACCTGAATGGCACAGATTACAGATACATAAGAATGTAAGCCCTTAATTTTTAACTTCAATGAACAACTTCAAGTTTCCTGCTCTATAAATTCAATATTTCAAAACAAGCAGCATAATTATTTTACTGCCTTGGAAGTAAATACCAGATATGAAGTCTCATGTCAATCAGTATTAGCAAAAGTGCATCATAATAAGTCTTCCTTTCCCTAGAAAACTAATTCAGATAGAGATTATAACACCACTTGTTCAGTAGTATAAAAGCTTGTAAACGGGATCCAAAATATGGCTACGAAAAGAATGGTAATATCAACTTACTCCATAACTATATAAACATTGTCATCATCTTCATAGGCTTCATAGAATTGCACCAGATTCCTATGTCCTGTTAGAGCCCGCAATATCTTCACTTCTCGCCTTACATCCTCTATAGCAATTGCTGTGGTCATCTGTCAATCATCACCAGTTTTTGTAAGAAAGAAAAAACCACGCTACTGGATTTCATAATCAACAGACACAAGGAGAAGACTGATCATAGTTGGACACTTGCACTCAATAAATCCTTGGAAGGTACTTCATTGATAAAAGAAAAGGGGTTTATTAACCTCAACAATAGGGTACAGTTTACGTATCTAAAAGAATTATGATTTTGTTGAGAAAAAGACATTTATTATATTAAAGAAAGTGTAATAAATGCTTCTCTTTATAATAAAATCTTACTACTTTTAGCTATTTTAACTCAACTGAGAGTTGAGGTTAACAAAACCGTACAAGAAAAAAATTGGGTGCAGTAGACTCCACAGAAATATCAAAATCCCAAATATTTATGGTTCTGGATTTTGCCCATTAAAACCTTTTACACCTGATTCTATTGAAAGAGGCAACCAAAAGAGGTCCCCAAAATCCTCATAAACACGCGATCCAGCATTAGTGTTCAACTTAAACAAAACATATAATGTATTTAGAACCTGTTTGAAAGAGTTTAATTAACAGCTTAAGACTCTGATGAGCTCTTTTCAACTTATTTCAATAAATTTCTTAGTAGAGCTTATTAAAATAAGCTATTTTCAGTTTATCTCAATAAATATTACTATTAAATTTATGATATAAGTCATTATTTAAAAAGAACTTATTGAATAAAAGTTTAAGTGTGTGTTTAAAAAATTTGTAAGCTTAAATCCATATGCACTTTAACATGAAACCAAACACGGTGTAAATAAATTGTACATCCAGACGTACTCTTGTTCCCAAAACAGCTATTCCTACCAAAATGCTATTTTCCCAATTAAAACAATCTTTCTATTAAAAGAGCAGTGAAGGTGAACAACCAAAAAGTCATGACACATACGAAACTTATATAGCAATATACATACGAAACTTAAAAAATCACTGACCGATAAATCCAAAAAAAATGACCAAGATAAAAAACCAAGTGCTAAAAGCATAAACCAAACATCGTCTTAAATTGCGGCCCCCAACCGCAATTGCCACTTCAATATCGCAGTCTTTAAGGCCACACACATTTGATTATTACTCCAAGACTAAAACCAATAATAATAACAGTTTTGCTAACTAATGTTCTGTTAAGAAATCAAAAATATTTTTTAATTAAAAATAACGTTCAAAATAAATTAAAAATTACGGTAAATATACATTGATAATCTTTAATAAGAAAAACTTCTCTTTGAATCCTTTAACCAGTATACAGGTTAATAGCATTTTCAATAAAATAATTCTTTAACCATTGTCTGAGTGCTGCAATAGTTAGCATTATTCTAATAATAATAAGATAAAGGCTAACGAAAAAACACTTGTTAAAAGTAAAAAATAAAAATAAAAATATATATATTATAATACATTCGCACTGATTTCTAGTCCATCCAAACATAATTTATAATAAAAGAAATTTATTAATTAGTTTCTTAGCCACCATCTTAAGATAAATGTTGAAGCCTCTAATAATAAAAATGTTAGTATAAATTGCTACGAAATGAAGTAAATAAATTTAGTAAGTTGAATATTAAGATTTAGAAAGAAAAAAAATGCAAGTTTGACGGAAAAAATGGAAGATTATAGGATTTTGGTGAGAAGTGTAAAGTAAATTCCTAACAATTATGATGTGTTGGGGGGGGGGGGAGGAGGGAGACCTTGGCTTTGGGAATGACTTTGACGGCAACATCGATGCCTTTGAAGGAACCCTTCTTGGCTTTGGCAGAGCAAGTGTAACCAAAATGGCCACGGCCCACTTCTTGATTGAGCTCATAATGGGCCGAAAACTGTTTAGAGAACCCAAAGCTCTTGTCAAGTCCAACAACCTCACACTCGCTTCCTTCCGGAATGGACGCCTCGTTGGGCTTGACGGAGCCGTGGCGCCGAGCCAGCAGCGCCCGAATGTGCTTGGCGGGCGACGGAGGAGGGAAGGGTCGCTTCAAGATCCTCAGCGGCGTCGAAGTCACGCTGTTTGGGTTGGCAGGTGAGGATTTGAACCAACTTGGCAAAGGGCTTGGGCTGTAGAATGGAAATTTTGATGAAGATTTGGTGGTTGTTGACGCTGCTTGTTCACTGCTAAATTCTGTGTTCTCTCTCTCGCTTTGTTGGGTCTCAATGGGTTTTCCATGACAGATTCCCATCAAATCAGAAGCAACCAAGACCAAAGGCCCAACCAAAGTTCTAAACTAGAGAGATCAGGGAAGTCACTAATTCAGAGTCTTTTGAAGCTCAAGCATACAAAATTATCAAAATTTTAAAATGAAATTAAAAACAAAAAGTGAGTAATGTACTGAAGAAAAGAGAGAGGGGGGGGGGGGCGAAGGAAGTGCTTCAAGAAATAAAAGAAAAAAAAACAGTTTTGTTAGGGCTGATGAGGAGAGGAATTTGCTGAATGAAAATCAGGGAAATTTTGTTAGGAAAGAGAAGAACAGGCTTTGGGAAGAGGAAATCTGGAGGAGTGAATCTACTGTGGTTAGAAGGGAAGAGAAAATTATAGAGAGAGAAGAGAGATGATGATGGTGGTGGGAACTAAAGGGAGGAAGAAGGCTTGGTAAAAAGAAAGAAGATGAGAAAAAGTGAGGGAAAGAAAGATGCTTGCTTAGCAGAAGCTGAAAGAAAAAGAATAGCATAGCAAGGCTCCTTTTTCTGCTTTTTGTGTAAGGCTTTTATTTCTTTTATTAATTTTATTTTATTTGGGTTCTCTACCTGTTAGTGGTTCCTTGGTTAACAGTTCTGCGTAGAAATACACTTTATCAGAGAGGCTGTATTGTTTCTTGTCTAACAATAATGCCGAGTGGGGTTCGGTTTGGATCCTTCCAGCCTGTCCTTATTGATCCCAAAAAAACTTAGATGTATCCATTTCATGTGAGAACAACGTAATATGGGGTTACCAAACTCTTTTTCTTTTACAAAATTAATAATACCATTCCTGTTATTAACATTTTCTTTACTACTATTTTCCCCCATTTTAAGCAACTATTATAAATACTTTTGCCTTTAATGACTTCAGCTTTTGTCCTTCAGATTAATTTTAAGTATTCAAAATCATTTTTGTATTATTATTTTTTATTTAAACTCTATGTTATAGGTTTAAAATAATATTTAATTTTTTAAAATAAATAAAACATTTATCGTTCTTTTATATTTTTATTTGATAAATACCTTTAATCCTATGGACGGATGATAATAAAACTGATATTAATATAATAAAAATAAACAAAAGGTAACTGAAGCTTTTGTGCCAAAATAAATAATGTATTGTTTATAGAACAGTTCAAATTTTTTATGTTATATTAATTATCGTATCTTATACTTTATTTATCTCCTTTTATTATAACCTTTTTTATAGAATATTTAGGAAGAAGAATTAATTTCTCAGAAAACAATAATAGTATTAATGCTAATATGATAAAAAGGAAAAAGAAATTATAGCTTTCTCTGTGTGTGTGTGTAGTTAAACTACCAAGTTTGACCTTATTTTATTATTGGCTTTGAAAGGCTGTCTTTTTCTACTTTAATTTTTTAAATTTTTGCATGGTGGGTCTGTTTTGTTTTGCCAAATAAGTGACTCGAGATTGGAGAAACATTTCAACTGAGGGGGAAAACTAAAGCTGAAAGCACATTTATTTGGTCATTTGACTCTCCCTTGAATTATTTTTTTCCTTGTTATAATCATTAACTCATAGAAAGGTTTCTTACATAAATTATTCATTGATTGAGCTGTTCTTTTATTGACGGTCAAGTCCCCAATTCTTTTTCTCTTTTGGAGCTATTCATCAAATTATGTATTACTATTTTTAAGATGCTGCAATGGGAATGTTGTGAACACCGAAAGAAACTTAACCTCTATTTCGTTTCTATGAGGATAGTAAACAATTTTAAATTTTAAATTGAAAAACATAAGAATAAAAGTTTTGGATTAAAATTCAAATAAGCTAATCTTCAACTCTTTGTTCCAATATACTCTTCATTTACACCTAAAAATAAAGTTAGTGACAGAAAGGCTTCAATGTAGTTATTTTAAGACACCTTCATTTATCGATCATCGATTATAGAACTATTGTTTCCGTTGCATCTGTAAACATGAATTCATTCAAAATGTATATATAACCAATAACATTGAAGTAAACATAAATATATCATAATTTTAATATAAAACTAAATCTACTATTAGCATTATAAGCACAAATAAATAATAAAAACATTTTAAAAAATGTATAAATTTTACACACTCAATACTTGAATTCATTTTTTAAAAAAATATATTGAACAGCAAGATTATTCTCAAAATATCTTAAAAACTATTTTTTTGATTAGAATATTTTAAATATTACTGCAATCTTTACACACTTAAATTTTTTATTATTTTACTTTATTATTGTACCTTTAGTATCCATTCAGTTCATAAATTAATATTTTCTGTAGACTACAAAATGTAATTCTCATATATATTTATGATGTTCATTTGAATATTTATATAGTCCATGGTTTAATATTTTATTTATTACCAAACTCTAAAAAAGAAAACGTTCGCACATGGTGGGCCCCATTGGATCAGTGAAGAAAGGGATAATACGGTTCGTTACAATGAAGCAAAGAAGCTGATACATCACATAATCCTCAAGTGAAAACTACTTAATTGATCAAAAACAAAAGGCTGTTAACTTATATTGGAAATTACGGATTGATAAGAATTGACTAAGGACATGAACTGGGGGACAATACACAAAAAGATAAAATAGATTATTGTTTATATTTATGAAATACACGAAAAAAAATATTTTTTAATTTAATATTTTAAATCATAATTAAGCTAAAACATATAAATAATTCATAATGGCAATAGATATTGATCACTGAATAAATTTTCAAGATATCAACATAACAATAATTATTAATTATGGATCAGTATCATATCATACAAAAAATTAATAACGTAAGATTAAAGAATAAATAATAAGTATATTAATTTAAAAGAAAAGCTAACTAATTAAAATCTAAATGCATAGTTTTTGTGTGTGTGTTATTTAAATTTTTTATATAAAGAAATACTCATAAAATTATTTTATTATTATTTTTATATAATTTTATTTTATATTGTTACTTACTGTTACTATATTTATTCCTTATTAGTTAGATATTTTAAAATTAATATAAATATCATTTACTCTGTAATCTTACGTCATTAATTTTTAATCACAAAACACTTGTTTTAAAAATCATATCAACATCTTATGATAAATATATTAGCAATGATAGCAGAAACAGCTTTCGGGAAAAATGCATTTCTTTTAATAATTTAAGATTGTTTGAATTTAAAAAATAAAGAGAAAAATACAACAACCAAAAAATTATAGCATGTTTGTTAATTTGTATTATATTTCATTTTTAAAAATAAAAAGTTGTTTTTAAAATGGAAAATAAATATACCTTAGTAGTTAAAATTCTGATTTTGTTTATTTTAATAATTCAGTAATCACTAAAAGCATTTTACTTATAATATAATATTGTAATAAATAAAATAATAGTAGTATTATCAAACACATTTAAAATTATTTTATAAATAATGTTAAAAGTGTGAAAGGTGAAAAAAAAAAAACCAACGATGAAGATGGGTTTTGTTTAAAAATAATATTTTTCAGAATAAATGATAAACAACCTTTTATTATTATTATTTAATAAAAACAAATGGAGAGAAAACAAAAAAAAAAAAGTACAAAATATGTAAATTGTGTAAAACTAAGAGTTTAAAATTGCATCTAAAGAATCATTTAAAAAGTGAAAAAAAATTCAGATAAGAGTATCAATAAGCTAGTTTGTTAGTTCTTACAAACAGCATGATCTATGGAAAAAAATGAAAGAGCTTTGTATGACTTTATAAAGCACATTACACAAGCTTGTAGGTCAAAAGTCCTTAAAATGTTGTGGATAGTTAACTTTAAGATTGAAGATAATAGAAGAATGTACCAAATGAGAGTCTATAAAATCAAACTAAAAGGCAATTATTACTAATCTCTAGAGATCATCCCCAATTACTTTCCAATAAAATTTATAAAATAATTGTTGGAATCCATGCGACAAGGACCTTGTAAGTGTCCATACCAAAGATAAATCTTCACATTTTCTCCTTCAAAACGAGATATAGAATATGTATTTTACTTTTCTCTTGGAGTTTAGGAAAGAGAAATAGTGGAAGACGAGCATGTTAACTATTAGGAGAAGTGCAAAATAGTTTGTTATAAAATTTTAAAGCTTTTAATTTGAGAATGTCATTGTTGGTGCACCAAACAATCCTCCCCTAAGATATGAAGATTCATGATCTTATTACGATTTCGTTGCACTATTGCATTTGTATGAAAAAAATGAGTTTTATGATCTCCAAATCATACCCATTGCTCTTGAGCCTTTTGAAACCATAAAAGTTCTTCTTGAAAAAGAACATTATTTAATTGTTTCTATAATTTATCTCTAAATAATCTAGTTTGGTTTTAGAACTGTGAGACAGTTCTATTTGAATGCCATGTAGTCGAGAAAGAACGTGATTTTTGCAACGAAAAATATTCCTAAAAACTTTATCATTAAACTGAAGTACATCATCATTTAAATGTGACAAACTATCTATGAAAGATTATTACCTTTATTCTAAGCCTCACAAATTATAGAAAAAATCTTTGAGTGGCCCATGCTGCCTAAAAATGAAAGGGCATTTAGTATGCTTCTAAAGCTCTAGTAGGGAAAGGCACAAGCATGAAGGGTAGTGATCATAATAGACATAACTAAAGGTCTCTACGAAAGCATTAAGGAAAAGATGTCTTCACTCAACATTTGTCAATGTTTGATCTAATATTTTTGAGATTTGGTGAAAGTCATTAATCTTTCTACAATAAGTAAGATCTACTCCTTGAGATCCTCGTTCTAGAAGGTCACATGCAAGCATTATAACAGAAAAATGATTAGCCTAGGCTAAATAGAAATAACCCCTGTGAACCTCATTTGGAAGAAGTATGTTATTAAAGTTACTAATTAGGAGATAAGGCGCTTTAATAGAGCCTAAATCTGAGAGAGGTGGGCTAAGAATTGCTCTCTAACATGAGAGATAGGATTGGCATACACTGTGCTCAAGAACTAAGTTGTCTCGCCATGATTTAGCTTAATTGTAACAACTCAAGTCATAACATTAACTACAATAAGGTAAATATTAGAAATTATTTCCTTTAACACCCATATTCTACATACATGACCATGAACCTTTAAAATACTTACTAATTCATAACTAATTTGTTGTCACAAACCTCTTACTCACTTTTTGAAAATAATAGTGAGTTTTAGTCAAAATACATAAGGAAGGATTATGTCTATGAACCAATCCTTTCAATAGCTCCAACCAATACAACTCTTTGCACCCCAAATGTTCCCTACTAATACATTAATATTTTTGTAATCCACTAATACTAGGATGAAATAGAAAGAGTATAAGATTAAATGTCTTTAGCATACCTCCCAAAGATGATTCACTTTGTTTCTTCGACATAAACATATTTGTTTCCTGCCACATGTACAAAGGAATGTGTTGTTTTTGATCAATTCAAAAAATTATTAATATAAGACATTGAAAGTTCCTTCATAATACCTTTCTATTGGGAAGCTGCATGCAAGTGA